TGATAAACATGAAAATTGCTAGTGTGACACTATAGTTCACACACATTATAAGCAGCCCAGAATAATGCATGGCATGTTATGCAGATGTTAAACACAGACTCACTTAGAGTGGTTTAAATTTGTTTGTAGCTTCAAAAAAATGGGGACAATGGATAATCATTTTGTCAAATAAAATTATAAGAAATAACTTCCCCTTTGAATAACAGTAAAATTCAAGCACAGAGCAAAAGAAACATTTAACTTATACAGGGTGATTTGTGCCATAGTATAAGACAGGCAGAAACATAAATAGATGGGTGGGTGGGTGGATGGATGGTGGATGACTAGATGGATAGATGGATGAATGGGTAGATGGATGGATTGATTAATCCGTAGGATGGATAGATGATGATAGATAGATAGACAGATGATGGATGGATGAATGGATGGTTGGTTAGATGGATAAGGGTGGATGGATAGATAATGGATGGATGATAGATAGATAGATAGATAGATAGATAGATAGATAGATAGATAGATAGATAGAATAATACAGTATAGATAGTATCTATAACCTGTGTCCCATCTTGTTATCTTTTTTCACCTTCATAATATGTAGTGAATAGTGATGGATTTTTAAAAATAGTGATGGATCTTTTACATTAAATAATTCAGAGAAATAATTACATACTTGTTTTATATATATATATATATATATATATATATATGTGTGTGTGTGTGTGTGTGTGTGTCAGAAAAGGCATGACATATTTTGTCTGTTTGTCAAAAGTCATTTATTTATATAAAGAACAAAGATCAATCAGTGATATAGTGCCCATTTTGTTCGATAACCTTTTGCCATCTTTCAGTGAGCTTCATAATTCCTCATTCATAGAAGGACCTGTCTTTATTTGCAAAAAACTGAATAAGGTGCTGATTTACAGCCTCATCTGAATTCAACGTTATACCACACAAGGAGTTTTGAAGACAGCGAAACAAGTGGGAGTTTGATGGCACAAGGTCAGGCGAGTATGGTGGGTGTGGCAACACATTCCATCCAAGCTCCAATAATTTTTAATGGGTGATCAAACTTGTGTGGTCTCACATTGTCGCGATGGAACACAACTCTTTTACAATTAACAAGCTCTGGACATTTCTGGATGATAGATTCATTCAAACTGTCCAATTGCCGACAGCACACATTCGCATTGATTTTTTGGTTCCTTGGTAGGAGCTCGAAAAACACGACACCTTTAAAATCCCACCACACTGAGAATATAATCTTCCTCTGATGAATGTCTGCTTTCTATGTCTTTTGAGGCGAATCATCACTTTGGGACCAAGACTGTTTGCACACCACATTGTTGTAAACAATCCACTTCTCATCACCAGTTATCAGTCGCTTCAAAAAAGGATCGTATTCCTCACGTTTAATGAAGATATTGCAGATGTTTATAACTGCCGTCAAATGAACTTCTTTGAGTTCATGCGGAATCCAAATATCGAGTTTGCTTCAGGTGGTCGTGAATGCTTGAATGATGGATGGTCAATGGTTTTCAATCTCTCATGTCACGTAACATGGGTTTGACTCAATCAATGCCTTTATTTTGTTGTCATCAACCTTGGTAGGTCTCCCTGACCAAGAAACATCATTGAGATCAAAATCACCAGCACAGAATTTCATGAACCATCGTTGGCACTGACATTCTTATAGAGTGTTGTCACCATAAACTTTATGCAACTTTTCACAAGCTTGACGCGTGTTCTTCCCTTTATGGAAGTAAAACAGTAAAATATGGCAAAAATGCACAGTTTGGTCTTCCATCTTCAACTTGTTGTAAAATCTCCAAAACTCAACCAAATCATTCAATTTTTTTTAGAATGAAGCTAGAACTGTCAGCTGTCAAATGACATAGCAATAACATAGATGTGAATGACTCTAGTACTTCCAAAAATGAACTATTCCGACAACGCTATAAATATATATCTGGCAAATCCAGAATGGGGAAACAATCTTATTCATGTTGAATAGCTCTTCAAATTAAAACAACTGATAGTACATACTATAGCTTAACCCAACTAAAGTGTAAATCTGTAGAAATAACAGTTCCCTCGTATGTCACCAGAGCCAGTGTCACTTGTTATTGAGGCCAGTGGACAGCAGTAGGACAGGCTCCAGAGCAGAGCAGAGGGCACAGCCATGCCTCTCCAGAGGCCTTGATTTGGAAGGTCTCTGTTTAACATCTGAGGAAACCTTTCTGCCTCCTGCTTTACCAGATCCCTCTCTGAAGAGTGTTTAGCACCCATTTCAGGGTTAGCCATGGGTCCATTTGTGCATCTATCTGAGTTCTTCCTGCCCTCGTCTCTTTCCAGTCCTCCCAGGCCACCCAGCACCAGGGACCTTGATATCCTTGCTGTTCCTCCAAATGCCAAGTTCTGTTCTGTGTCAGCTTTTGTCTGCATGTCCAGCTCTGCTTGGACACTCTTCTCCTGTACATGTGGGGTCTGTGCCCACACTTTTTTAGGTCTCTTCTGGAATGTTCCTGATGGCCCTACCTAGTATATCAACATCCTGCCATCACCCCACCCTTTATGCTGCTCTATTGTTCTCTCTGGCACAGTTGGGTAAACTTCTATAAAGGGCTCATAATAAATATTTTAGGTTTGGGGGGGCCATATGATCTCTCTTGCAGTTATGCAACTCTGCTGTTATGGCACATAGACAATATGTAAATAAATGTGTATTGCTGTGTTTCAATAAAACTTAATTTACAAAGGTAGATGAAGGCCAAATATTGCTTACAGCCATGATGTACCAGTCTCTGCTCTAGAGGTGGCACTTTGCACCACTGGCAAACTGCTGTTTATTTATTACTTGTATCTCACCACTGGAATACAGGTGACCAATAACTATTGGTCTGCATGTACAAGGAATGAATAAGGAGTGTACCTTACACATTAAGTTATCAACACTAGCCTTGTCTTACCTTATCTCTGTGAAATAATTTAAGTTTATGGTAACAGACTCACCACCAAGACTTACTAAAGTAAAATGTCTAAACCTGAAACAGACCAGCATCTAGAATTCGTAGATTTCATGCCTCTAAACTAATTGTGCATTAGTCACTCTTTTACTCATTTAACAAAGATCCCATAGATAGTCCTATGATACCTCCTCCATTTCAGGTATGAATTAGAGTAAGCTGATCTCAACAGCATATGTTTATTGGGGCTCTAAAACCATTGATGAAATTATTTTGCCCTCTGACTGCTCAGTTTCTATGGGCCCTGGGAATGGGCGCAGGCTGAGAGGTCATGACAGTGGAGATGGAGAGAAGTGCTCATATTCAAGCCATGTGTGGGGTGGGCACTAGTGATGGCTGCTGGTGAATAGACTGTGGGGCTTAGGAGGGTGAAGAAACAACTTGACTGTGAGTTTTGGCTTGAACACTGGGTGTGTGGGGTTACCATTAATTAAGATGAGGAACAGGTTGGGGGCACTTGGACATGGAAAGATACGGCTGAGGTTCTTGTTAAACATACAAGTGGAGATTCTGAGTTACTCAGTAGATGAGCCTGGAGGGCAGGGAGAGTCTGGGAAAGAGACATAAATGTGACAGTTGTCTGCATGTCCTTAGTGTTTAAAGTCATGGGACTGAATGCGATCTCTGAGACACACAGAGAGAGAGAGCGCACGCACAGGCCAGGACTGAGGGCTGGGCTCCACAGCATAGACTGGCCAGAAAGAGGAGGGAGAACATGCAAAGGAGATGATGGGGTCCCCGGGGGGCCGAGGATGTTGGGCAGGAAAATCAGGGGTGGTCACAATCTCATTGGAACGTCAGCAATGATATTTATGGGTTTCCATGTCCTATTTGCTTAGCTTTGAAAAGGCGATGTCATCAAGTGCCTTTTCATTTGTCACCCACATGCCAGACCAATCTAAAATTGCAGCTGCCTCGGAAGACTGAAAAACAATATCAAAACTTTCCCAACGAAGCTGCACACGTGATGCAGTTTATTCAGAATTTAAGGCAAAGAGGTTGGAGGTTTTAGGATTACATGGCACAGACACTCTAGCTGTGCCCCTGGTTAATAAATGGAGTATAATTAAATTTTATTTTTTGCTGGACTTTTCGTAGATAATAAAGAAACTTTCTTGATTATCTAGAAATAGTTCCATGGGAATCTCACCTGACTTCAAGTGGAAGAAAACAACGTTTTGGGTCATCTTTTCCTAATTTCAGCTTCCCACCACGCCTCCCCCACTTTTCCCTGCAAGGGAGAACTCTTCTTCCACTTACCCCCTGACTGTGTTCAGGCCTCACAGAACCTGGCATGCAGAGGAGAAAGAGTAGAACTGCCACCTCCCGGTGAAGCTCGCTGCCAGGGAGATGCAGAGGTGAGGAGGTGCCACCTGATGGTGGACGGAGCCTGCACACCTGCTGCCATCAGCTCCCCTGGGAGGCCCCTGCAGAAAGATCCTTCAGCTGAGAGCACAGCAGGGAAGAAGGCGGGATGCCAGGGCCCCTGTGGTGAGCATGCACGTGCACAGAGGACTGAGGAGAGGGGCAGCCAGGCTCTGCACATCCAGGATGGACAACTGATGGGGGTGCCTCCTGCTTGAACAGGACGTCACCCAGCTCAGTTCGTGAAGTCCAAAGTCATGCAGATGCCATGGCCTGAAACTCATGCCGCGAGCCTTCAACTGGCATTTGAATTCTTCCCTTCCAGTAAACGTAGCTCTCACCGGGGGCCTTCTTCAGTGCTTCTGCGACAGCTTCGTGAAATGTAAAGCTGCTTTTCTATAATTTCATCTGTATTTCACATTGTTACAAAGACATTTTGTAAAAAATGAATAAGACGTGGAAGTCTGGGCTCACTTTCCAAAGATAATCTGCAAGGTTGGCATTACCTTACAAAGTCAGATTACACTCTGGAACCCCGCAGAATGTGTGGCTTTGGACCGAGTCCCGTCCCTGGGGGATGCAGGGGGCAGCACCACCGACCCCACCTGTGAGAGCGCCTTCAGAGCAGGAGGTCGCCAAGGAGCCCAGCTCCCGCTGCTCCAGTGGCCTGTGCCTTGGAAATGACTTTGACTGCCTCGTCGTCATCAACTTCCACAAGGTGACTCACCACAGGAAGCAGAGGCCACATGTTTCCTCCAGACATTCACCGTGGAACCTCAGGTGAACCTCAGGAATTTTCATTGGTGTGCCGTCATTGTGTGTAACTAGAGGACGGTGACACTCAGCAGGGCTGCTTAGCTCAGTCCATGGCAGCTCTCACGTGTCTCTTCTCCGTGGTGGCCACCCACGCTGCACTTAGCAGCTGAGCGACAATTAAAGTTTGAGTGCTGACAGCACGTTCCTAATGCACACGGAGTCATCTGGAGAAAACCCAGGCAGATCCAAAGAGGCGAGGGCGGGGGTGGGGGGGTCACGGCAAACAGGAAAAGCCTTATTTATACTTTTTAATGCTCCCTTCTCCCAGCATCACCCACTGAAGGTGATCAGAACCACCCACCCCCATTCCTGCTCAGTTGATCTTGGTGCTAACAGGAGTGCATCTAGACAGGGTGTAGCACAGTGCTCCCCACAGCGGGGGGCCCCCAGGGTGTGACTCTCATGGCAGTCTGAGAGCCTCTCATCTGTGGTTGACAAGTAAAGCTGGACAAAGGGGAGAGGAGGGCAGGTGGCTGGTGATAGAGAAAAGTACTGAAAACATTGTATTATGTGAGGAAAGTTGGCAAAAACATAAAGTGTTATTTCCCAGTAGAAGGTGTACTATTGGAAAGAAGAAATTAAAATGTAGGTCACCTACCCACAAATTGATGCTGATAACTGTCCCACTGGATGCAAACACTGTCCACACAGCTTCCCAGACCATCACTTTCAGCCTGTTGTGGCCTATCTACCAGAACCGTGCGTGTTTATGAATTTACACTGAAAATGGTGATTACCACTGGGCAGGAGGTTCATACCAGTGCTCCTGCTTGTCTGAGAAACTGGGAAGTGCTGGGTACTGGCAGAGTCTCCCCCTAGGACTCAGACCCTCCAGTGTCGCCATCCTATTCCGTTCCTGTCTCTGGGACATTGTGACCTATTTTGGGGTCTCCCAGTTCTTATTTCCAGACAGATCACTGGCTTATTACTTCAGAGGATAAATATCATCAAATAGGTGTTGATTGCACCTGTTTAACCCTAAGGCATAATCTTATATGCAAGGTAACACTTATGAGTGACACCAGGGACCTCGTTTCTACATTTCCCACTGTGGGTAGTTATGGCATCTCGGTGAGATCTTGGCGGCTGTATGTATTGAACTGTGCATGCCCATGTCACTAGGCTGTGAACGCTGTGACCAAGTTGTCTGCCCCCAACTTGTCCCAGGATCCTGCCCCATGCACACTTGCACCGTTTTCCAACGAGCTCTCCAGAACTTGTCTGTGCTTTCCAGTGCCTCCTCTGTGCCTTATCTGAAACACTAACCCTGAGAGACCTCTCAACATTATCAACAGAAAAAAATAAGTAGTGGAAGATATTTCTGAGCCATCTTGATCCTGATCCTGAGGAACCTCTACCTACCTAGACAAAAATGTTATGGCCTCTGAGATTCATGCATATGTGTTTGAGGTTTTCATTAGTGTATCATTTTTCTCCACCAAGCTAGAAATATTGGTGAGCTGTTCTTGTCTTCTGACTTCAGAATTATTCCTGTTCAGTGATGCTCGTCACTAGCTACGCCATCTGCATGGCGGTGTGCTCGATTCCATCAGGAATCTGTCAACGCCACTTCTCTTTGCTGGATATTAACAGACCCGTGTTAATCTGTGTTAATATAACAACTAATGTTGATGCAGGCTCTTCCTGTTCCAGGAGCTCCAAAACACACTTAACACATCACACCCACGAAGTAGGTGTTTTAATGTGTAGTCCCCATTTTACACTTACGGAAGCAGAAATGAGAGGTTGTGATCTGATTGATCTTGTTATCTATCACCTTCCATATGATGGATGATAAATGACATGTAAATAGCATAATCATGGACATACCATAGATTTTGCCATGGGGAAGGCTAAGATGACCTATTCCTGTCCTTGTGTAATGGAAGTTCCTTTTTTCTTTTTGAAGTAAGATGGGTTAGAGGGAGGGGCATATCTGTTGGGACCCCCAAAATCATAACCTGTGAGTTATAGGTTCTGCTGGGGGCACGAGGGTACCACCTGCTCCAAATCCCCAACTACGCTCCCCATGGGAAAATCCCTGGGTGTCTGGGTTTTAAGAAGGGGTGATTTGTGAAGCACCCCTTCTTAGCTTCATCTCGTACATGAGTGTGTCTGGGCGCATAACCAAGAGGAACGTGAGGGCAACAGGTGTGCCCGAATGAAGTATGGATTGGGGAGTGTTTGCAGGTACCCTGGAGAAAGGCTCTCAAACTTTTATTTCCTAGCTTTATTCAGATGTAATTGGCATATGATATTGTGTACATTTAAGAGGCACAATGTATGTATTGCAAAATGTCTACCATAATAAAGTTAGTGAACACAACCTTTCCCTGGCATAATTACCACTTTGGTGGTGGTGGTGTTATTGTGAGAACATTTGAGATCTACACTCATGAGAACTCTTTAGTATATAACATATTAACTACAGTCATCATGCTGTACTCTAGATCCCCAGAACTAATTCATTTTATAACTGGAAGTTTTTACCTTTTGAGCAACACCTCTCCATTTACCACACCCCTCAGAGCCTGTAAACATCAATCTTTTGATATTTGACATTTTCAGATTCCACACATCTAAGGGAGATCACACAGTATTTGTGTTTCTCTGTCTGACTTACTTTACTGAGCACAATGCCCTCTATGTCCATCCATGCTTTGCAAATGGCAGGATTACCTTCTTTTTATGGATGAATAAGATTCCATTAATGTATATGTATACTGAAATTCAGTGTACATATTCAGCCATTTAAAAAAATGAGAAAATTCTACCATTTGCAACAACATGGATGGACCTAGAAGGTATTAAACTAAGTGAAATGTCAGACAGAGAAAGACAAATACCATATGATCTCACTTGTATGTGGAATCTAAAAACAAACAAACAAAAAAACCAAACTCATAGAAAAAGAGATCAGACTTGTAGTTACCAGAGGCAGGAGGAGAGGGGAGGGGCAATTGGAAGAAAGTGATCCAAATGGACAAACTTCCAGTTATAAGTACAAGGGATGTCATGTACAGCGTGCTGACTATAATTAACACTGCTGTGTGACATACAGGAACGTTAAAAGAGCAAATCCTGGGAGCTCTCATCACTGGGAAAAAAAGAAAAGAGCTGATGGCATTTGGTGTGCTTTCATTATTTCTAGGTAATAAAATGACTTTAGAACACTGTAATCTCATTTATTCTTGTTCACTTTATATAGTATTATGGTTGTGCAATTCTGTACACACTTAAACTTCCCTAGAGAATTACAATTACTGTAATTTTACATGGTCAGCATTCCCAACATGTTTACCCTTTTACATGATCTTTCCTCACTGCGTTTCAGTGCCTTCCTCTGACAATTAAGTTTGCGAACTTGTTGCAACGATGTTGCTAAAAAAACTTTTTTTGATATCAGAAGGATTATTCATTATGTATTTGTACCAACTGGACAAACAGTTAACTAAGTTTACTATTTGGAAGTGCTGAAAAGGCTGCGTGAAAAAGTTAGACGACCTGAACTTTTCACCAACAATTCATGGCTCTTGCATCACGATAATGCACCAGCTGACGTGATACTGTGAGGGAGTTTTTAGCCAGTAAACAAAAAGCTGTATTGGAATACCCTCCCTACTCACCTGATCTGGCCCCCAGTGACTTCTTTCTTTACTGAAAGGTAAAGGAAATATTGAAAGGAAGACATTTTGATGACATTCAGGACATTCAGGGTAATATAACAGCTCTGATGGCCATTTCAGAAAAAGAGTTCCAAAATTGCTTTGAAGGGTGGACTAGGTGCTGGCATCAGTGCATAGCTTCCCAAGGGAAGTACTTCGAAGGTGAATGTAGTGATATTCAGCAATGAGGTATGTGGCACTTTTTCTAGGATGAGTTCACGAACTTAATTATCCAAGCTTCGTAAAATGACTTCTTTCTGCCGAGCAAAGGGTTGTGGTTCAGATACACAGATGAGACATTTTTCTTGGTTTCTGTTTGCCTAAAAATGTCTTTACTTCGTTTTGGTAGCATACTTTGCCATAAAATCCTAGGTTTGCAGATGTTTTCTTTCATCTCTGAAGATTTTACACAATGGTATTGTGATTTTCATTTTGCAGTCAAGAAGTCAGCCATCAGTCTAGTTATTGCTGCTTTGAAAGCATCTCATTTTCTCTAATGGCTTTTAAGGTTTTCTCATTGTCATTTGTCTTCAACAAGGATATCATGATACATTCGTGTGGCTCTTATATTTATCTGTCAATATTACTTTTGGCTCATAGAGTCCCTTTAATCTATGGCTTTGTACATTTCTGTAATTTTAGAGAAAGCTTAGCCACTATTATTTCAAGTATTCAGCTATTTTTCAGTTCAATGTTGGATTATTCTACTGTGTCCAGTCATTTATCAGATCCATCCACTGAGCTCTTAATTTTTATTATATATTTTTCAGTTCTAGCATTTTTTGTATATGATTTCTTATGTTTTACCAAAAAGAAGATAATATGTCTTATTATCTGTCTTCTTAAATATATTAAAAATAAGTATTTAAGCATCTGTGTCTAATAATTCCATTATTTAGATCCTGTGATCTCTTTCTATTGTGTGCTATGTGTTTTGGTTTCAATAACATTGTCTTTTTTTTTTACACATATATCTGATAACTTCTTTTTATATAGCTCTATTAATTTACACACCACAAAATTCACCCATCTAATGTGAGCAATTCAGTGATGTTTAAGATTCATAGACTATGCAATCATCACCACAATCTGTTATAGAAAAATGTCATCATCCCTTCATTTTATTAGCAGTAGCACCCCAAGACCCTCCACACCCCATCCCCGATAAATGCTAATCTATTTCTGTCTCTATAAATGTACTTATTCTAGACATTTCACATGAGTGGAATTATACAATATGTGGTATTTTGTGACTGGCATTTTTCATTTAGCATGATTTCAAGATTCATCCATGTTGCATCATGTGCTTATGCTGCATTTAATTTCATTGCCAAATGATATTTCATTGTACAGATATACCACATTTTGATTAACCATTCATCAATTGATGTGTATTTCCCAGCACAGTTTTTATCCTGTTATGAATAATACTACTCTAAATATTAAAAAATGTTGCATAGGCATATGTTCTCATTTCACAAGTTGTTGGGTCATGTAACTCCGTGATTAATCTTTTGAGAAACTGCCAGTTTTCCCAAGTAGTTGTACCATTTTACACACCCACCAACCACTTCTCTACATCTTCGTCAACTTGTTTCATTGTCTGTCTTTTATTATGGCCATCCTAGTGAACGGAAAGTGGCATCATGTGATTTTGACTTAAATTTCCTTTACAGACATTGATGTTGGGCCTCTTTTCATGTTTCTCCTGGCCATTTGTGTGTCTTCTTTGGAGAAATGTCCATTCAAATCTGTTGTTCATTTTTAGGTTGTCCTATTTGTCTTTTATTATTGAGTTGTAGTGTTTTTAATATTTTAAATATAAGTGACTTACCAGATTATAACATTAGCAAACATTTGCTCCCTTTCTGTACATTGCCTTTTTCCTTAACTTTGATGTGCAAAAGTTTTAAATTTGATGAAGTCAGTTTTTCCTTTTGGCTTGTGCTTTTGGTGTCATATCAGAGAACGCTTTTCCTAACCCAAGATTGATGCCTATGTTTTCTTCTGAGAGTTTTATAGCTTAGTTATGTTCCGTTTTCAATTCATGTTTGTGTGTGGTGAAGGGGAGCACCCAGCTTCACTCTTTTACATGTGGACATCCAGTTGTACCAGCACTGTTTGTTAAAAATATTTTTCTGACGGGTGCGCCGGGGGCTGGCGGGAGTGGAGGCCCCATCAACCCGGCCTCACTAGCCCCCGGCGACCTGCAGCTCATCGCTCTCATCGTGGAGCAGCTCAAGAGCCGGGGCCTGTTTGACAGCTTCCGCCGGGGCTGCCTGGCCGACGTGGACACCAAGCCAGCTTACCAAAACCTGAGGCAGAAAGCAGATAATTTTGTGTCAACACATCTGGACAAGCAGGAGTGGAATCCTACCATGAACAAAAACCAATTACGAAATGGTCTGAGGCAGAGTGTGGTCCAGTCGGGGATGTTGGAAGCAGGAGTGGACAGAATAATTTCTCAGGTGGTGGACCCCAAACTAAACCACATCTTCAGGCCCCAGATAGAACGAGCGATTCATGAGTTCCTGGCGGCCAAGAAAAAAGCAGTGGCGCCGGCCCCCCCCCTGCAGAGCTGGAAGGCCAAGACCCTCCAACCCTGTCCCAGGATGCTTCCTAAGGTCTGGTGTCCCATCATTTGCCCAGGAGCATTCGTCTCTGACTTGTAGATAAATGAAATGCATAGAAAAGGGAATATGGCTGACATCTTCTGGAAACTCTTGAATTAGCAGTGAAGAAATAGATCTGGTTCATAATGGTACAACTTCAGAACGAAGACAGGCCAAGGTCATCACTGATTGCAGCCTGGACATTGGGGCAGGGTCCAGATTGAACAGGGAGCAAGTCTGACCTGTGTGCCCTGCATTGTGCTGCCATCTAGCCAGCCTGTCTGCAGGGATGACACCCAGTAGACACTACAGCGATCTAAAGAAACACTACATCAACCTGGTGTTGTCCAGAGACAAACCTTGATACTTGAACTTGGAGGAGCATGTGGATTTGGGGGTTTGTGCTGGGGAATGAAAAAAGCTCCAGTAAAGGAACATAACCAGTCTCAAAGATGCAATTTCTTAGAATGACAGTAAAGGTTAGCAGGGAGCAAATTTTGACAGTGTGTATTTTATACGGTTTCTCAATTATGAACTGTAATAGAATGCACAAGCCACTAGCATCGAATAGCTTTAAGTTGTTGTGACCCTGTTGTACATGAATCTTGTAGCTTTAGTTTCTTTTCCCTAAGAGGTGACAAAACAGGGGACCCAGAATGCATGAGGAGCCTCAGACATTAGATTAAAGGAAACGTTTGCAGGCTCTCTGTCCAGGATAGGCAGTGTTGGGTGTGTTTATTTTATTCCCATGTTTGTGTTTTTTAGAAAAGTGAATGATTAATAAGTAGCTTAAGTTTTATAATAAAATCATTTGAAACTCTTAAAAAATATATTTTTCTTTCCCCACTGATTGGTCGAAAACTATTTGGCTGTAAATATGAGGATTTATTTATGGGCTCTCAATTTTATTCCATTGATCTGTATTTCTCTCCTTATTCCAGTACCACATCTTTTTTTATGACTTTGTTTTATAGTAAGTTGGGAAATAGAAGTGTGAGTCTTTCAATTTTGCTCTTCTTTTCCAAGATTGTTTCAAGTGTTCTGGGACTCTTGGATTTCCGTGTTAATTTTAGAATCATATTGTCAATTTATGCAAATAGCCAGCTGAGATTTTGATAAGGATGGCATTATATCCGCAAACCAATTTGAGACTTGCCATCTTAAGATTTAAGATGTTGCCATCTTAACAATATTAAATCTGATCTTTGCACATGGGATTTGGTTTGCTAGCATTTTGGCGATGATATTTGTACCTATTTCTTAAGGGATATTGTTCTGAAGTTTCTTATCTTATAATGTCTTGTCTGCATTTAATATCCAGTAACACCAGCTTCATAATGGGTTAAGAAGCATTTACTCTCTTTTATTTTATGGAGTTGTTCCTAAAGGATTGATAATAACTCACTTTTAAATGTGTGGTAGAATTTGCCAGTGAATCTTTCCAGGCCTGGAATTTTCTTTGTGAGAAGTTTTAAAATACAACTTCCTGTCACTTGACTGTTATAGATCTATTCAGATTTTCTGTTTTTTCCGTATGTCAGTTTTGGTACTTTGTATCTTTCTGCTAATTTCTCCATTTAATCTAAGTAGTCTAATTTGTTGACATACAGTGGTTCATATTATTCCTTTATCGTTCTTTTCATTTCTGTAAGGTCAGCAATTGTGTTCTTTCTTTCACACCTAATTTTAGTGATTTGAATCTTCTCTATTATTTCTTAGAGAGTCTATATGAAGGTTTGTTAATTTTGTTGAACTTTTCAACGAGCCAACTTCTGATTTAAATTTTTTTTTCTATCATTTTTTTAATTCATGCCCTAATCTTTAATTTCTTACTTCTTCTTACTTTAGGTGCATGAATGTGTGAATGTGTGTATGTGTGAGTGTGTATATGTGTGTGTGTGAGTGTGTGTGTGTGTACATGTGCATGTGCGAGTGTGTGTGTGTATGTGTGTGTACAGATTTGTGTCGTGCCCCATTTACTGAGACTATGACATCTGTGCCATTTCACTGTGTTCGTGTCCTTGTCCCACTCCTGGGGGTCCCAAAGAAGCACGTTGTTAAAGGTACCTTGTTAGCTGGGACTTACTACCTATTGAGGTGCTGGGCACTCTGCTCCCAGATGGCACCCCAGGTGGCTGGGCGCCTTGGGGCCATGAGCTTCTTGCACCTCCAACCAGGCAGAGGAGACCCATTTTCCTTCAGCAAACATCCATGGTGTTTATCCTATGCACCAAGAGGTGATGCTGTGAGCTGGGGTGACGGTGATGAGTCAGACAAAATTTCTTGCCCTCAGAAAAAGCAAAGCCTGCATGGACAGACACACCTGTTCGATATTTAAGCGCACTTGACAAGGGCCATAATCCAGATGTGTCCAAAATGCACCAGCAGTGGAGAGCATGGAATAACCACTCCAAGTGGAGATGTAGGGGGATGCCTGGGGGAGAAGGCTCCCTCTCTGTGCAGAAAGTCCTGGGCCAAACAAAGATCCTAAGAGACCAGCACATCCCAGGAACATGGGACACACCCGTGGTACTCCAGGGAGGGGTGGAGCAGGTACCAGTCTGGAAATGTAGGTGGGGAGATGGGTAGACCGGGGGTGGCTGCTTACCAGGGGACCTTTATTCCATGGGAATGGGGAGTCACTGAAGGTTTTGAATCAGAGAAATGACATGAGATTTTTTAGGGGAAAAAAATCACCCTGGAAACTGTGATTGAAAGGTTAGAAGCAGGGATGGTTGCATAATGATGGAGAAGAATCAGGAGGCCACTGAGGATTCCAGAGGAGCCTGGGGCAGGGTCTGCACCGAGACAGGAATGACAGGGCTGAGGAGTGGGGACAGACTACACCTCCAAAGGGCAAATGGGAGATGACTCGGATAGTTTTTGCTTGCGTGTCTGGGGAAATTGTAATATTTTTACCTAAGGGAGGAGATAGTGAGAGGAAATGAGAATTTATTGCAGAAGAGAACAAATTTGGTTTTAGACACATTGAAACAGCACCCATCCCAGCGCCCATCCGACCTGGAATTCAGGTGAATGGGGCTGGAGCAAGACCTGGAACGCATGGTGTCATCAGAGAGGGACATGCAAGGAGCGGGGTATGGAGGAAGGAGATCACACTTACATGTAGCTCATTGTCATTTGCATGCCAGTTATGACATAATTACCTACATAATTCTGCATGGAAGATACAGTTTGAGCCCACTTCCAGAGCATTAGGATTTGATGAAACTATCTTATGTGCTTCAAAGAACCCTGATTCAAACCAGTCTGACAAGCTCGATGAGTGCACACGACATAATCCCTGTCGGGGAGAGAAGAAATGGAGAAGGCGGGCTCCATGTTGCTTCATCGATGTGGCCCATGTGCGTGGATCCCACGTGGAGATGTTCAGGAAACCTTTGCTGGTTGAAATGATTGTCCTCAAAGAACCTGCAGAACTTCAGAAAATGCGAGACTCACCTAGGCATCCTGTGCACATGCACATACACGCACATGCGCGCGCGCACACACACACGCATGCATGCACTCACGCTTGCTATGTTATTAGAAAACAAATAAACGTTCTCTAAAAGCAACTGCTCTCACATACAGTCAAGGCCAGGGGGTTCCCAGACCACATTTCTTTCCTGTTTCTTTCACACAGACTCAGAGCCCCTGAACAACAAAATCAAGAGCGTTTGCTACCAACCTCTAAGTAGAGCTTCTGATGTGTTCATCATCTCCAAGAGGGAAGAAGAGTGTGTGCCGCATCCAAATGCATCTGTGACAGGCACATGCCATCTTCCTTCCTCTCTGTGCTCACCCCTCTCCCTCACCCTTACCTTATCCTGCACCAGCAAGTGAAGTCCAGGGACCCCCTGGGAGCCGTGATCCTTTGCTACTTGTACTGGGACACTACAGCTACCAGATGTCCTCGAGCTCAGGCCAGGCCACCTGCGCCTGTGTCCAGCCCTTTCCCGGCAGCATTCCTTAACTCTGGCAATCAGGGAGGTAGAGGAACTCACAGGATTTCATCGGCAGGAGCCCAGCTCTGCGGACTTCCTCACCACTTTACCCCACTAGGGCCAAGCTATCCAGCAAGGCTTCACTCATGAAATGAAATCTTTCGAAGAAAACATTCGATTTTGAAAAGTAAGATGGTATGTTCCATGAAGAGAGGAACCTGTAGAAATGTTTACATTTCTTGCTGTGAGATCAGAAAGAAAATTGTTTTGTTATTTTGAGATTCCTATATTTTTTTCCCCAGGTGAATCAAAGAATCTGGCTGAAAATTGTGAAAAACAAAATGCAGTAGCCATGAGCTCCTACCATAGCAGAATGAATCTGTTTGTGTGAGTTACAGGAAATGACACCCACACTGTGCTGGGTGTCTCATGGGCCACGACAATGAGCCTCATGGGCTGACTCTGAGCTGCACCGCGAGTCATGCTGCAATTGTCAATTCAGTGTGAAGTTTGTGTGAAGTTCAGTATGAAAGAACTGAATGCCTTCAAATGCTGGGCAGACCCTCAGTCGAACGTGAGGGGCTCTCTTGAGGTCCATGAAGGTCCGGGTGGCTTTGATTTTGTACTTTTTCTATAGCTGCACATATCTTTTAAAATACTTAAACACTATTTTGCCAATTCTCCCTGCCATCAGGCATTTTGCACTGGAGATAGCGTGAATAGATGCCTGGTTCATAAACAGAGGTTCTGGAAAAATCTTGCCTTCTCCATGAGAAAGACATTGCTGTTATCTGGCAGACATACACTTTGGGGGTGGATTTTCATAG